ATCTGCTGTGATCCGTGCACTGAACTGTGCTCTGTCCTTTATATGTGTGTGTGTGTGTGTGTGTGTGTGTGTGTGTTTTCTGCTGCCAGTAGCCTTGTACTATGCAAGTAACACATATTAGTAAATTAATAATAATATAAATACAATAATAAACCAACAATCTTGGCTTTCTTGATGGCCAGTCAGGTGGAATTGACTCTTGGGAACAACTATGCCAAATTTGGTGCTTGTATCACTTTTTGCACATTTTTTTTCTCAAATATCTTGAGCAGATCAGAAGTTATGGCCATTTGAAATTCCAAGATGGCAGAAGATTCTGTGGGATGGCAGGAGGAACTTAACATCTGCCCAGATGGAGACTACGCCATTATGTGTCATCATGTGTTCAACGAGAGCAAAATGAAGTTGCTTCCTCTTTCTGACAGTAACATCAAAAGGACAAAGAAAGAAAACTGTTTTCTTAAACTTTTGTGTAAACTGAGAGAACACAAAGTGTCAGAGCAGATCTGAGGCCAGCGGTCAGTTCAGTCTCTGTCCCTCCCGGCGTGCAGACGGTCGGTGAACACGGGGCCAAACGCCGCATGTCGCTCTGAGCACAATACTCACAAACGATTTGTTCATGGCTCGTTTGACCTCGTCTGAGCCGTCCGAGTAGATCTGCTGGAAGAGCTTGTTGAGTGCGGCGTCCCCCTCCAGCTTCTCCTTCTTCTCCTCCTCGTTTATGTCCGACACCATCGCGTCCCATTTGCGGGTGTGGTGCGATGATGTGGGGTACTGATCTGAGGCAAGAACAAAAAGATTTAACAACTCAGAAGAACCATCAAGGTTAGAAAGAAGTTCACCTAAACACATTAATATAAAACAATTGAATATACAAACCATTCTAATCTGCACTCATAAAAAACTAAAATTAAACCTCTTTAAAAATCTGTTTTTAGATAATAATATGATCTGGTCTTCAGCAGGTTCTCACATATGATTCAAAATTGACCTCAAGTGTACAAAAATATAAAACAGATTCATCCATGTCATTATTTACCAGACGTGTTTCCCTATCTCCCCCCCCCGCCCCCCCACCCGCTTCCCCGCTGCATTCTTTTGTCCTGTGAATCCTTAAAAAGCCTCTTTTTTTTTTTTTTTTTCTGCATACCTCTTAATTCGAAGGATCAGCTGGTCTCTCAACAAAACTGATCAACTTCTCCCGACAGGAGTCAGGGTAAGGAGGACCCTCTTACCTCAACGGAAACAAATTGGATTCATGATGATAACTGGTTATTTTGCTGTTTGGCTGGTGAATTCTGGATTGTCTATAAATTCATGTGGATGTGTCGAAGCTCGACAGTGCTCAGACTGAATTTGGAGAGCTGCAGCAGGGAGCTGGAGCAGCTGTTATCAGGACTGTGAACTCACTGCCAGCACTCATGAATGGTGGGAATAATCTTGGAGAAGCTGTGAGCTCGACTTTTGGCGTAAAGGATCAATTCGGCTGTTTTTGGAGTTCCATCAGAGGAATATATACCAGCGAGACTTTAAAAGGCAGAAACAACAATTCACAAGTTCTGCCTGACCCAAATTGTGGCCTTAACGCCGGACTTATCTCAACTCCTCCTGGAATGTTTTGAAAACAACAAAGATGCTTTGACTGTTTCCTCACCCCTCCCTTCCCCAAGGTCGTGGACATGTAACAAAACCTCAACTGAGCTGAAGATGAACGTCACCTCTTATCTGGACAATGGCTGAGGGGGGGCTCTGGACTATGCTACGAATTTCCCTTAAAAATTCAATGTTTTCACCGCCTATATGTAAATGTATAACATCTGTTTATGTTGCTTTGCTGTGGTAGTTTTTTTTGATGCCTCAAATCGTGCCCTGTCTAGGACACTGTGTGAGAGATCTTTTTTTTATACTGTCTCTCATGTTTTCTTTCCTTTTCTCATCTAAGCAAAATATTATTCTGAATAAGAATAAGAGGGCCGCGCTATTTATTTATAGCCGCAGCTTCGTGCACTCCGCCAATCTTTCGGACAACTGTACGTACATAATCTCGCTGTATCTCGGTGCAATGCCAATAAAGTTTATTCTGATTCTGAAAAATTAAGCCAAAATAAAAAAAAAAGTTGTGTTTCTGCTGCTTTAATGGGATTTCAGAGGTTCAGTCTCCTCCAGCTTCTGCTGATCACACGTTTTAATGAACTGATCATCAGTTTGGACCTTGGAAGACTAAACTGTCTGATGAGCCGGTCATCATCGTGGGCCAGAACTCCTCTCTGTCTCTAAATACACGCTCTCTGTGTATTGCACCATTTGTTATACCCTCTAATAAGCTTAAAGTAATTGTTGTTAAAGATCATTTCTGCACCAATTTGTGCAGTTTTTATATCCATTCATCTAATTCCCTACATGTGGATGTATTAATTGTTCATCATGTGTGTCCGGAGTGTTCAATAATAGTTCTCACATCGATAGTTTCCCAGTATCACCTTTAAGTGACACCAATGGACCAGTAACCATAGAAACGTGCGTACACCAGCCATGAAGTTGGCGTGGAGCTGTGCTCATTTCATTCTAGGGCTGAACAATTCATTGCCTTTGCAATAATATTGTGATATACTAAAATTAGATTTTCTAATCGTAAAGGCTGCGATTTGACTGGTCACATGATCTGGTTATGTGACTTGCGAGTGAGCGGAGCAAAGCAGAGCAGAGAGCGGGAGAAGACAACACTGCGCTTTAACCAGTTGCACAATGGCGTCAGGCTCGACAGAAGCTGATACACCTGAAAGTTTGGTACCAAAGAGGGGCAGCACGTCTGTTGTTTGGAACTATTTTGGCTGTAAAAAAGAAGATTCTGTGTAACGACATGTATTGTGCAGAAGCTGCCTTGCTGCTGTTGCTGCCTCTCGAGGTAACACCACAAATCTTTATCAACATTTAAAAAAAATACCACAAAGCCATTTACGATGGTGGCATGGCCAAAATGCCAACGACCAGTGCTTCAACTTAAAGTAAGCAAAGTAGCAGCCAATGTGGATCACTGACCAAACTGTCAGAGATTCTTTATTGTCATTCGCACCACATGTGGTACGTGTGGTGGAGCGAAATTATGTACACAGGGTCCCAGTTACATCCAACAATAAAATGTAAAAGAAAAACAATAATATCTAAGATGTGAACTAAGAAAAACATCAACTAAATATACACTAAGCACTAATAGCATAAAAACATTACGTCGAACAGCAACACAAATGTGAGCATGAGTCTGTGTGAGTAGATGAGCATGCATGAACACATCAACATTGAAACATATCAGTGTGCTGGGTGAGTGGGGTCCTTCATGATGCAGGTGGCCCTCTTCCTGCATCTGGAGGTGTGAATGTCTGTGATGGTGGGGAGACCGACTCCAACAGTCTTCTGTGCAGCCTTCACCACTCTCTGCAAAGCTTTTCTATCTGTAGCTGTGCAGTCTCCATGCCACACGTTGATGCTGGAGCACAAGATGTCCTCCACTGCACACCTGTAGAAGGAGGTGAGGACTGAGCTTCCCAGACCAGCTCCTCTTAGCCGCCTGAGGAAGTAGAGTCTCTGATGAGCTTTCTTGATCAGGCTGGTAGTGTTGTTGCCCCAGCTGAGGTTGTCATTCATGTGTACACCGAAGTACTTGTAGCTGGAGACCACTTCCACTGCAGATCCTCTTATGTTCAGGGGGGTGTAGGTGTGTTTGTTCCTTCTGAAGTCCACAATCATCTCTTTGGTTTTCTTCACATTGATGTGAAGATTATTTTCTTTGCACCAGCTCTCCAGGTGTCCCACCTGCCTGCAGCTGGACTCATCATTGTTTGTGATGCATCCCACCACCACTGTATCATCTGCAAACTTTACAATGTGACAGCCTGGATGGGTAGCTGCACAATCATAGGTGAGCAGAGTAAACAGGAGGGGGCTCAACACACATCCCTGAGGAGAGCCAATGCTGAGGGTTATGGTGGAGGAGGAGAAGTTGTGGATCCTTACTAACTGTGGTCTCTTTGTTAAGAAGTCTAGTACCCAGTTGCAAATGGAGGGGCTTAGTCCTAGTGTGAATAGTTTGTCCATCAGGGTTTTGGGGATCATGGTGTTGAAGGCAGATGTGAAGTCCAAAAAGAGCATACGGACGTAAGAGTCTTTCTGCTCCAGGTGGTTGAGCGCAGTGTGGACCACAGAGGAGATGGCATCCTCTGTTGATCGGTTCTCACGGTATGCATACTGATGAGGGTCCTCGTTGATGTTGATGGTTTTGAATTTTGTTTGAATGTATTACTCCATATGAACATAATTTGAAACTACATGCGGAAACAACTCGAGCAATAATGGAGTTCATAATGAAAGACTTGATGCCCATTAATATACTGGTAGTGACCAAGCCTGGGTTTACGGCTTTGGTAAACACAGTGGATATGCGGTATAGAATACCCTCGCACACACATTTTAGCCAAGTTGCTATCCCCGAGCTATAGAAACAACGCAGAAACAGAGTTGCTGCGGAGCTGAAAACAGTGGAGTTTTTTTTGCAACTGAAACAGATTTACTGCTTGTGTTTGTTGAAAAATACAAGAGAAGAAGACATTGAAAAATAATCACATATTAAATCGCAATATTGAGGTAAAAGAACACAATAGAATATTTTCCACAATCGTTCAGCTCTATTTCATTCTTGATACATCTGAAGTTTTGAGTGAAAAAGGACGTACGTTTTTGTGCATGAAGCCCCTGGTCCTCGGGGGCCACCATCTTGCATGTTTCTCCGCTCCAACACACCTGGTTTGAATGAGCGAGTGATTACCAGGCTTCTGAACTGATTGAACCAGTGGATCAGGGAAACAGGTAAAACATGCAGGGTAGTAGCCCTTGAAGACCAGGACTGGACTCCCCTGCTGCACAATGACAGGAGAGTGTGTAAGAAGCCAATAAATAACCAGTTATTCCTGCTAGAAGAGCTTCTACAAGCTACTGGACCATGGGGTGGACATCATTTTCAGTTTGTCTTTATTTTTGTTCAGTAAATAATAAAATGGTAGAAATTGTGTTTTTCCACTCTGGAGGTTAGACTTTGGACATTTCAGAGCCTGGTTAAGACCTGTATGTCCTGATAGCCTAGACCTGAAACAGGCTGGACATGGACTCCCCACCACTGGAACTGGACAGGCAGCCCTGAATGAGCCTCCTCTCCTCTGGGACAGACTCATTCTGATTTCATTTTTATATTCTCTGTTACTCAGCCACTATAATCCCAGCCAGAGATGGAGCGGCAGAGTGGGAAACGTAATCCAGACATAGATTTACATAAACACGGTGACAGACCCACTGCAGACAGATTCAGGTCAAATATGGGCGTGAAATATCGAATAAGGAGTTTGAATTGAGCGGGGGTCTTATAGACAGGGCAGAGGTTAAACTGGGGTCAAGCTGCACACTTAACTTTGACTTTCTCACACAGTGAAATCAGCAATTAATCCCTGCAGTAACGTGAATGTGTGGGCTGAAATCCTGTTGTCATACCTTTCCCTCTGCCTGCCCACTCTCACCGTCAGACTAATGAAAGACTCAAGCCGGGCCTGACGGCCCACTCTCATTTTAGAACAGAACAGACAAACAGGAGCTCATATCGATCTTTGCAGAAAGAAAGAAAGAAAGAAAGAAGCAGCAGCTGAGACAGAGTGACGGGAGGATGCAGATGGGAGAACAGAGGAGACAAGTGACGTCGAGGACTGACGGGGATTGAAGTGTTTGATGCTGGCCTCCTGTCCTTCTCCTTCCAGCTCCTCCCATCTAATGGCGTCCGTCTTCTTCATCTTGATTTCCACCTGACAGAAGAGGGGAGAGATAAACACACAATATGTAACAAAATGGAGACCTTCAGAGCGCGGGGACAGAAATAACGTTTCCATTAGAGTGACATGTAAAAGCGCCGAGCATCGGATCATTACCGAGGCCAGGGGAGGATGACTTCTTCAGAGCTCTGTGTGTGTGTGTGTGATGTGCGGGGGCACAGCTCAATCTCAAACCTCACTGACAGACATACCACACTAACGAGATGCCTGTCAGCCAGAAGGCCAGTATGAGAGATGGAGGGGGGGTGGGGGGAATCCTAATTCCACACAGCAGCATCTGATCCAAATCATTACGCCAGGAGAACACGGGAGAGGAAAACAATGAGGGGGAGACACACACACAGGCTGTGGACACATGCTTTTAACAATCAGCTGCACTGACAGTCACACAGCAGAGAAGCACGCCAGCATGTCCCCCCACCCCCACCCCACCCAACGCCCTCCCTGAACACCTATTAATGGTGTGTGTATGTGATACGTGTGCATGCCAAAGAGAGCTGGTGATGTCGATGCAATTAAGGAACATTTCTGCTCTGCTGGGCGACGCGATGATTCATTTATGAGGGGTGCAGGCAGAGAGGTAGACCGGGGGGTGGGGGGTGTCGGTTTTAGGCTGATGAGGTGGTGTGTGTAGCCATGCACTGTTAGACCATCATGTCATCACTTCCTGCTCTGCAATGGACTAAAAACAGAACACCTCCGCCGAAAACGTCAACATGAACTCATCTGAAAAGTAATCAACCTTAACGAGCCGTTTGGATGGATTCAACTAATGCCCCTTTTGCCCCGCTCCTACTCAGCCCCAACTCTGCTCAGATCAGCCTGATTTGTGCTGTACTTCAGGACCGGTTCTGGAGGCGTGTCCAGAATCCAAAATCCTGCTATTGAACTTTTAATGAACTTAAGTTCACCATGACAGTTCTGCGATGAGTTAAATTCAAATCAGTCTGCTCCTCAGATAAATAATTTTAAATTATTATTTTTTAATATGAATGTTTCTGTTAAATTATTTTACATATGAATATTTCTGTTCAGTGCCCTGAGACGACTTCTGTTGTGACTTGGTGCTATATAAATAAACTGAAATGAATTAAATCTAATGAACCAGATTCTACAAAAACATTTATATTTAAAATTCTATATTTTTCTTCATTTGATGTATTTGCACTCATTGTGTCTACTTTTAGTGTTCAATTTAGATATGTGGTTTTGTTTCATACAGATTTTATTTTAGTGATTTAAAGTGTAATTCTTGTTTTGTGATTTGTACATCTGTGGGTTAGAATAAAGGTGAACTAAAGGCTCTTCTTTAAACATGTTTGAGGGAAATAATCCTGAGAGACAATAATTTTGTCTTTTTATGATTTTTCAGCTGAGTTAACTTTAATTAACAGATTATTTAATAAAGTCAAAGTGACAACTGGATTTCATGATTAAGCCTGCACCGTTTATTTATTTTTATTCTTCAATGATTAAAAAAAAAACATTATTTTTTATACAATGTAAAATGTTAAAAAACAAAAAAAAAGTGTCCACCCTCCGTCTAGGACTCCCAGTCCTCCTGCCTGCCAGGGATCGGAATCCAGCCTTTGTGAGCACTTCAACGGGTCGGCGGCTCGTATGTTCCTCCGCAGTGACTCCGCTCGCTCAAATGTTGTCGTCAGTCACCAAACATAAAAAACGTTTGGACTTCAGCATTAAACACAATGTTATCATTATTCTAAAAACGTTAAATCTTGTCCTCTGGACATTCAAAAAACAAAGCAAAGCAAAACTACAAAAAAAAAAAAAAAAAAGTAGAAATGTTTCGTCTTTCATCTGAAAGACTTCCTCAGTCTGAGGTGCTGTATTCAGCTCAGTCTCTTAAATAGCACCTTCTCAGAGTGGATCAACCAGTTTGCAGCTGACAACCAAAACCAGCTGCTCACATGGTCAAGAAGGACCATCAGCCTAACGATGGGTCATTAGCACACTGATGGCTGTTTACTATTCACAGGGGGCTGAGTGACACTAGCAATCACAGCATTGTAAGAGGGGGACAGTTGAACCCGGAGGCCTCCACCCCTGTTTAATGATGGACGATGTCTTTTCACAAAGATGGCCTCCTTTACTCCTCTTTCAAACCATCATTCCTCTCTATCCAGGAAGTGAACATCTTCATCCCTGAAAGAGTGACCGCTGGCCTGGTGATGAGTGTAGACCGCAGAGTCTGGCCTGATGATGTTGATCTTCTGTGCTGGTCCATCCTTTTGGCCAGTGGCTGTTTAGTTTCCCCAATGTAAGACTGATCACAGCCCTCCTGACACTGAACAGCATACACAACATTACTCTGTTTGTGCCGGGGGACTGGATCTTTGGGATGAACCAGTCTTTGCCGTAATGTATTTTGGGGTTTAAAAGCCACTGGGACGTTGTGTTTAGAAATTAAACGTCTCAGTTTCTCTGATACTCCCGCCACATTCGGAATGACCACTGGTCTGGGTTCTTCCTTTTCACCTGATGGCTGACTGGAGTCCAGTTTGGGTTTCTTCTCTGCTTTCAGGAAGGCCCAGTTAGGATATCCACATTGCTCTAGAGCCTGTCTTGTGTGGGATTTCTCCTTCTGCCTGGCTCCTGAGTTAGTGGGGATGCTGTCTGCTCTGTGGTACAGAGTCCTGGTGACTCCTAACTTGTGCTCCAAAGGGTGATGGGAGTCAAACTGCAAATACTGGTCTGTGTGGGTGGGTTTGAGGTACACCTCAGTTTGCAAATGTCCTCTATCAGAGACTGAGACCTCACAGTCCAAGAAAGCCAACCTGCCATTTTTTACATCTTCTTGTGTGAACTTGATGTATTTATCCACAGAGTTGATGTGGTCAGTAAAATGTTGGACTTCCTGAGATTTAATTTGAACCCAGGTGTTGTCAACATACCTTAACCAATGACTTGGTGGTGTCCCTGAAAAGGACATCAAGGCTCTCTTTTCTACCTCCTCCATGTACAGGTTGGCAACAATAGGAGAAACTGGTGACCCCATAGCACACCCATGTTTCTGCCTATAATATTGGCCCCCATATGTGAAGTAGGTTGACTGCAGGCACAGTTTCAAGAGTTGACACAGTTGTTCTGTGGAAAGCATGGTCCTGCTGCTCAGAGTGGTGTCTGATTTTAATCTTAAACTGACCTGTTCGTACGAGGATAGTTTTTAAAATTCTTCTGTTGACCTTCAAATGCCTAAATGGCCTCGCACCCCTTTACCTCTCTGAGCTTCTGGAACCTTACGTTCCCTCTCGGGCCCTGAGATCATCCGATCAGCTGCTTTTGGCTGTTCCAAAAACAAGACTGAAGCTCAGAGGAGATCGGGCTTTTTCAGTCATGGGCCCCAAGCTCTGGAACAACCTGCCCCCCAACATCAGGCAGGCCACCTCCCTCCCTCACTTCAAATCCCTGCTTAAAACTCATCTGTTTTCTCATGCATTTCATACAGTGTAAATTGATCTAGTGTTTTTTAATCTGTGACCCTATGTTTTAAATGCTTTTTATTAATTCTTCAGTTATTATCATTATTAGTGTATTGTATATATATGTTTATATATTTTTCTCTTTAATTTACTCATTGATTGTTGTTGTTGTTGTTGTTGTTAAGTACTTTGATAACAGGTTCTGTTTTAAATGTGCTCTATAAATAAAGTTGACTTGACTTGACCACCTCTACTGCATCATCAACAGGAATGCACGTAGAGTGATGTGACATCAAAAGAGACCATTGTTTCATCAGTCTCCATGATGACATCCCTCATCTTATCCACAAAGTCCATGGTGTTCTGTATGTGGTGTTCTGAGCTGCCAACTAAAGGGATGAGTACAGACGCCAGATATTTGGAAACAATGTAAGTGACTGAGTTAATCATGCTAACAATAGGTCTTAAAGGTACACCTTGTTTGTGGATTTTAAGTAAACCATACAGACTAGGTGTGGCCTCCCCTGGGTACAGTCTGTGGTACAGAATACGGTCAATAGCCTTGTCCTGCTCCAAAATTTTCAGGCAATTTATCAACTTCTTCTTGTAACCACTTCCTGGATCTCTTTTCAGAGGTTCATAAGTGTTTAAGTCACTAAGGAGTGTCATAACTTTCTCATGATAGTCTTTCTGGTTCAGAATCACTGTGCACCTTCCTTTGTCTGCTGGGAGAATGATGATGTTTTTGTCCTTGCTAAGAGTGGTGAGTGCATCCCTCTCCTCTCTACTGATGTTGGAAGGTGGTGGTTTGGCATTGCTGAGACAGGCTGAAACTTTGATTCTGAGTTGTTCTGCTTCACCCTCTTTAATTTTGTTGTTGCGGATGGCTGATTCTGTGGTTGTGATCATATCCACCAAAGGAATTGTACTTGGTGCAACAGCAAAGTTCAGTCCCCTGGCAAGAATCTCTGTCTCTGGCTAGGTGAGCTCTGTCAGATAAATTCTTCACCCACTTTTCTGTCTCCCTGGCATGTAATTGACTACTGGAGTGTTGTCCTACACTGAATGTGTTGTTATTGGAATAGTGATGGTGTT